GGGGGGAGGCGTCGCGCCTTTCCAAGTTTGAAACGTTTGATAACTTCTCCCAGCTTTGACACGTAGGCCCCATTACTGTAAAAGTTAGCAGTAGCCTCTTTCAAGACAGATTCTTGTGTGGCGAGATTTTGCATGACTGATATGATGTGGCATAATTTGACTGGGTTTGTAATTTCTGCAGATAGAATAGTGACTCTTGATGGTAACTCTACCCAATTCCTCTTTTGAGATGCTACTATGATTCATCCAGGGCTAAACTGATTGGGATACAATATCCGTACAGAGATGCAGGAATTAAAATCAAGTCTTTGGTATACAACGGCAAAAGCATTCACCGTTATACCACAAAGGCTTCTTGTGAACACTTATAACTCTGAGTCTAAATCAGTGCTTCCCAACTTTGGTGATATCGCCCACCAGTGAACGAAATGGCCTTTTCGTTGGGTGATAGAGATCACCCTGGTACTGCTGGCATTGACAGTGACGGGTGTCATTTAGCCGAATATGCCTCTTATAGAAATACATGCAGGTGGGCGGTATACATACGAGCATTATAATATCCTCTTTAAAGTGGCAAAAGTAGACTCTGGTTTGAAAGAAAAAAGATTGACAAGCACTTCTGTAGGTCTGTAAGCATTTCATGTTTCATGTGTGTGCCTAAAATCAACACTCTGGGGGGAAAAAAACGAACATAAAAATGATTAGTTGCGAGTAGCCTCCAAAGAGTCTATGTCCCGTTTGCATACCCCCTTATCTGTTTCTCGTTAGTCGGCTGCCATGGCAAACAGGAACGTCCGTGTTCTGATACGTTATAGCGCTAATAGACACCCATTACACGCCTACGTCACTGAATACACTGCTCTCACTTATATATTCAACTTGCGCTCTTAATTATTCATTAAGGACGTGCATTCTGGTGTTGGGCCTGAAGACGCGCTATTTTGTGGCATTTAAACAAGAAGTATATAATTATCAATGCTTTGCTATTCATTCAGATTTTTCAATTTTGTTTACTTTGTATAAAACTGTTTGTTTGTTTGTTCGTTTGTTCGTTTGAGTAAAAAGAAACATATCGACACAATAGTGGTCATAATTTAGTGCTGGGAAAAAGCAAGACAGACAGACATGAACAATGGACGGAAAGTAGAGAAATATAAGGACTTATCAGCAGCGCCCTCCAGCCGCCTGCATGTGAAACTAAAGTAAGCCGACAACATGTACAATGTATATTATGAAATAAGCAAATGCTTGTTTCTAATAATTTGTGTATGGTGGTTCGAAATGTGCCAAAACATTGCCTTTAATGTGCGGCTGATCGGACGTAATTATGTGTCCGCTAGAGCCTTGAAGAGTAATTCAACGATAACAGACACCCACACTCGTTGATGTGACCTAATTCACAGAGCTCACTTAATTTGGGCTCTTAATTTAGCAGCACATCCTGAACAGCTTGATTATAGCGAGTCGAGCAGGTTGGTGCAAAGCGTGAAGATCGATCGTGGATAATAAATATGTCCGGTTAACATGTATTTTGAAAAGGTAAGAGTGCGACTTCTTGAAAAAGACGAGGGGAAGAGACCGGTGTCTGTGGTCAGGAGCGCCTGAACAGGGATTCGAACCGTTGCCACATGTGAAATAAAGTCAAAATATTGGCGAATGTGGTGCAGTAATTAAAGGCTTCGCTGTCACCGGCAGAACACGTGATCTTAATTTTTCTTTAGTATCTCCGTCTGCGTGCTGGGACACATTATTTCTCTCAGCCTAGTTTGGCGCTGACGAGCAAGGTCAAAGCAGCTCACCTCTTAAATTATATATATATATATATATATATATATGTATAATGTTTATGTATATACAATATAGTGTCGATGGAGGCGTAAAGAATCTACAATTACAACTCATTTTGGATCAGTTCGGTGCAAAGTGCGAAGATCGATCGATGTCCCATCAACATTAATAATTTGTTTTGGACAAGTAGGCTTGCAACTCCTTGGCAAAGACACGGGAAAACGTACGAGAATGCCCTCAGGTGGTTGCCAAGGTAATGACGTGATAATTGGAAGGGAAATTAAGGGTCTTTACTTTTGGCCGTTTTGCACATAAATAATATTATTATAATTATCCCATTCCCTC